CACCCTTAATAACTCCAATAAAAACAATGCCCAGCCTAACTGCATGTAATTCAATGACCAGGACCAAGGGATCTGGGTAACATGGAAGGCTGAGGTGACATGAGAAGAGCTGTACACCAGTCACCCATGCACTGTCTAGGTCCACACTCTGCAGGAAGCCTGGCCACTGCTGCCCCAAGGCAAAGAAGGTACAGATTGAGATCACTCTTCTCCACTCAAGGAAGCAATGCCCAAAACAATACAATAATGTACTCACTGTACCATATCAAAGACTCTAATTCTGGCCTGAGTATGCTTAGGCTGTGCCATAATCCTTTATTACATTTAAGTGTACTGTTCTGGAGTTTGTCTTTTGAACTTGTTTTGTCCTAGTGTTATTGCAGAAAAATTCCTTGAACAGCTATAAGATCAAGCATTTTTCCAGGAGATGGTTGGAAATCTCAGTTATTTTTTCATATGCATGAAGTCCAAGAATTAGCAACCAAGACTTTTAGATTTTCTGGGCCCACAGCAACATATTAATCAGGTTATATAGTACTTTTTATGTCATTTAATGCCTGGCCCTATGGCTCTTTACTTTGATGTGCCATGTTATCTCAAGAAAATTCCTTTGTGAGTTCACCTGATCATTCATTATAGCTTACAAAGTAGATAGATATCAAAGGCATGGGTCAGGACATCTACTGCCTTTTGATCTACAGCTAGGTCAGGCTAATTGGGCTAGGACTTGGTCAGTCATTACAATTTACAAATACAGATATCACTGGCAGAAGTTTTGATATCTGTCATGTTTGCTCTACATTTCTCTTGGACTAACTGAACCAGGTGCCTCATTAAACAATTTGGTGAGCTTTCCATTTCCTTAGTTTCACATCTGTATAAGTAGTTAGACAGTGTGAGTAGAAAGCATCACAGAACTTCAAGATATTACAAAGCAATAAAACATCTCTGAGTAGTAAAACATTACAGGGTTGCATTTTCAAGATATCAATCTAATAAGCAAAATGAGGAAGCTTCAAATGGCCTAAGCATACAAGGACATTACATAAGAATACAATTTGGTTATAAGAATATAAGTTTTCTGGGCCTGGAGTGATGGTTCAGTGGTTAGAAGCACCAGCTCCTCTTGCAGAGGACTGGGATTCAGTTCCCAGCACCCACATGGCAGCTAACAACCATCTGTAACTGCATTTCCAGGGGATCCACCACCCACTTCTGACCTCTCCAGGCATTGCATGACACGGGTGCACTTACATACAGGTAGACAACACACTCATACATGTAAAATAAAAAACAATAAAT